AAAAAAATTGTTTTGATTGTATTTTACCTTGTATTGGAATTTATTCGTTTCATCTTCATCGTGAACAGTGACGGTCAGAATGGGCATATCTGGGAGATCTGGTCCATCAGTTTCATCGACCTCAGTAAGCCACTCCTCTTTAGTGAACTGGGGTGGCATATCATTTATATCTTTCACTCGTATTGATGCTGTCCCCGTTCCTAGATATAAATGGCAACAATAAATACGAGCAAAAATATCAATTGTAAAAAAAATAAAAAGGTGTATTATAATCGATACGAATCTCTCAATTTTTTAAAATGATCTCGAAAAATACCTTTTAAACCCCCTCCATCCATTGCAACGACTTGTATCGAATAGTCTGGTGTACGTTCTCTATCTAAACAGCAGACTGCGGTTTTAATAACGCCAGTTTCAGATTCAATTTCAAAGATCGGTGAACCCGTTTCCTCTTCAATGACATTTTTTTCTATAGAATAAATCAGCTTGGCGTTCGTTCCTTCTTTAGGATCATCGTAATCCATTGCCGTCATTGTCATTACGACCATTCCTATTTGATTCAAGTAGTACAAACATTATCAATAATGCATCATTTTACCAAAAAATAATTATTTCATCCATATTATTTGTATTGTCGATTTTATAAATTTTACAAGATAAATTCTGTATAAACTACGAACGTACCTGCTGTACCATTCTCAGTTACATTGCCAAAGTAAACTCCTTGTGGGAATAATGGAGCGTTGTCATTAATGTCCTTGAGATTGACTTGAACGTCAGCATAACCAACAAGACCTTCTCCACCTTCGTCTTGAGCAAATACTGTAAACCTCCATTGAGGTCGACCGTTTGGTTGATCACGGTCTAATGGCTGTAAGATAGAAAAAATATGATAATGAAGTAAGTGCAACTCAACTCGTTTATTGTATTCAATTATTTCGTGAACCATTTTTTATCACCATTGTACAAATAAACTTTAAAAATCCAATTTTTCTTCATTCCTATACGTTTTAAAAAACCGTAAAGCAGAAATGCCTTATAAACTGATATCATCGGAAATGGTTTAGTTATCAGGATAGCTCGGGAAATAGCTCACGAGCCAATCTCACCGAAAAATAAAAGAATGTTATGCGTACCTTCAGTACATAGATCTCTCCAGAAGTTCTATTAATATCAAACTTGCTGTTTGCCGGGTTATCCGGATCAATGCCCTGACCAGTCAAGAAGTAAACGATGTTCTGCGGTCTATCCTTGTCTCCGTCGGTTGCAGTGACCTGGAACACATACACACACGTTCGGCCCATACTTATACACGAGACGACATATATATATATATATACGAATGTACCGTGCGTGCAAACTTCCGATATTTGCTTTGAAATGGGCAACCGATAGCCGGATACATTTGATAAGTCAAAGCTCGAGCCAGTGAACCAATAACTTACCTGTAACACGCGCTTTGGTAGCATCCTGTCGTCTTCCTCGGTAATCTGAGTCCTATAAGTTGGCCGCTCAAAGACAGGTGGATTGTCGTTCACGTCTTTAACGTGGATCACGACGATCGTGTGGTTCTCCTTTAGGTTGTCCGATGCCGTCAGCTTTAATTCGTACTGGAAAATTAATACGAAATCAGCAGAGCTTTCATTTCATACTCGATTTATTCGGCACGTTTATTTGCTATAAATGTTCAAATATTAGGTTCGATTGCAATTTGAATTTGATTCCTCGTATGTTATTTCATCTCAGAGGAATCTACTTCAAAAAAATCAAAATGATAGAATTGAAAATATACAATTACATGGCAAATCATGTTTGCGACGGTATGTGTTGAAATGTTTTTTGTAATTAAAAAAAAAAAAAAAAAAAAAAAAAAACAATGAAAATTTAATCATACTCACTCGCTTTCTCGACTCGTAATCCAAAGGTCCCGCAACATAAATGGCCCCTGTCATATTTTTTACGGCAAAAGCACCTCCTAGGTTACCGCTTGTGATCTCGTATCGTATACGCGAGGCTGTACAAATTTTTCCAGTTGTACACAATAATGTAAAGGTATTTTTTACACTACTTTTATTTATGGAAAAACAACTAATAAACATTTTATGCAGCAAAAAAACCCGATTAAACTTTAAAGTTGATTAAATGTAAATAAAAAAAAATAGTTTAAAATAATTTTACCAAAATGAATTCATTAATTAATTTTGAGAAGAAAGTTTCATACATGGCTTTACTTGAAATATAGCATAAGTTGTTAATACTAATGTACTAATGTAACTAAAATTAATTCAAGCGTAGAATCAACATACTTAATATTATTCATAAGCACCCACTGTTCAACGTAGTATTAACTTATAACTTGCGAATGATAATTTAATAGACATTGTATAGATATTAGTTGGATAATTTAAATGGTTCACTTACACTCATCGTGATCTTTGGCGGTAACAGTAAGGACGGTATGTTGAATATCTTCATTTTCATCTACCTCAGCTTCGTAAAGTTCTTTATCGAAATAGGGAGGGTTATCGTTCTTGTCTGCAATTCCAATGCGGATGAATTTCGTAACTGTAAGCAAAAAATCATTCGTACATGATAAGTATTACCATCGATATTCCTGCAATAGGAAAAAAATCAATCTTGCTTTTAATGGGTATGTATGGAAGAACTTTTTATAAAAAAACATTTTGTAAGATTTACGACTCAAACTTTTCCAATTTCACTTCACTGATTAAGATAATAGTCTGAAATACCGATAGAGTGAAACCTCATTCTAACTTTGTGATTTATTTATACTGCGACAAGAAATTCAATCAAACTTTTTGTTGAAAAATTAACTTCAACTTAAACAGCACAGCTTTAAAAGAAAGATACAAGTGGTTTATACAACTTAGTACAATTAAACGGACACTGTGAGGCTATGCTCACAATCGCTGTTGCTGTTGTATCACTTCATGCGTACATAATAATGACACCGTAAAATTATGCCGCAATAACAGTCGTCAGTAATCTTAACTTTTTTTCGTAAGGAATTTAAATTTTAGTCATACATTTTATGATAAAATTTTTATTTAAATGTCTTGGAGTTGAGTGAAGAAGTGCTTGGATTGCATGTTACGATGCTCATTATCAAAAATAAAAGAACAGCACAACAAATGAGTTAAAACAAATTGTCCACCAAGAAAATGAAAATATCATGCTTTTTGACGTATGTTTGGACTACCAGTGTATATCTGTTGCCTTTTTAGTAATTCTGTCAGACTATAATATACATGAATATCGACAGTTCGGTAATAGAACAGCCAATTCATATTAGCTGTGAAAAAACACGTGGTTGGAAGAAATTTTATGTTTTTGTAGGGAAGTACAGCTATGCTATAACTCGTACCATCATGAATATTAAACAACACCGTTTATCAAATAAATCTAATGCGTTAAAATTATGATAATTTATAAACAAATGACCATTAATTACACAAATATAATAATAATAAAAAATATGTGATTTCCTTAAAAAACTTTATCAAGGAATCAAGTAGAAAAACTGTTGAATATTCTATAATTATTCGTACACAAAAATTTTTCAATACTTACAGTAAAAGTTGCAACTTTTTAAAACTAACCCAAACTACTCAGTGAAATCACAATTATAACAAAAAAACGGTCACTCTACATAATTGGAGTGACTTAAAAACGACTGTAATATATAAAACGAAGGTAGGGTTACAAAAATAAATATAAAAATTCTTCAATTCACGGCATTGTTATAACTTCTGGTTAAAAGCTGGAACCTCAGCAGCACTTGCTCGTTACGAAAGCACTAGTAAAAAAGCTGGGATGGAAAATCAAAAGTTTAAAAATGAAGTTTCAGCCTATACATTTGGTATAAAAAAATACTCGATTCGCATAAATTGACATTAGTTTTGAATAATACATCATTAATATTTTACAATAAGATATTTTATATTATAGCTTGGTTGTGGATTGGTCAATAAGTCAGAAGCAAACGAAGCATTACCAATGAATACCTAATAATGCGAAATTTCAATTACACTATCGCTGATGATGACGCGCTGTTTGTTTTGTGTAATTTCATTTTGCTGTGAAAAATCGGAAAAAGGTATTCGCAAATGTGTGGCGTTCAAGATTGCATTGAGGTATAAGCATGTAAATCTATAAAAATAATAATAATTTACATGTGCTACACGTATCAGGTAAGCTGAATTTAAATTAATATTTTTTTTACGCGTTTCTCTCCGTTTCGCAAGCGTAGCGTAAAAAACAGAGTTCATAAAAAGTATTCGATGCATGTATGATCGACGTCGCGTGAATTTTTTCAGGAAATATTGATGTTTCTCGACGGAAGGACTGAGTTTTTCAATACCTTTTAAATATTTAGTTAAATCGGCTGGTTGACATGTTTAATTAAAAAAAAATAATAAGAATAATAAAAAAAGCGTTCTACAGAATTCAAGGATCTCAGTTGGCAACGCTGGCATTTGCATTATGCTGTTCGTTAAAGCAATTTACGAGAAAAATTAATTTACAAAATAACACACATTGTTCGGGGAGAAAATTTATTCAAGCGTATTTTAGAGGACACTCGACTATCGTCACCAGCGTTGACGTATCTATGTACCATACATCACCGAGACTGAATGCAACGTGAAAAATTTCAACACCCTTCAACGATATTTCACGCTCGTTACCTGAATGTGTATAGTCACGAATAAAATTCGAGCTTGTTCTACTGTTAATAATTGCAACAATGATAATAACAATAGCAATAGCAACAACAAGAGTCTTTTCACAAAGACGCATTCACAAACTCTTTACTGCTACTTTTCATCCATCGTCTCACATCCACGCCCTCCATGACCATACTTTCGCTGTACACTGGCACATCTACGTAATTATTTTTTCTTTCTCTGTTGTATTTTCACTTTATGTAACCTCGTTGATATAGCTCATGCGTACATTTGTATTGAGCGCTATTTTTGTAAGAGCAGCTCGCCCATACGAGTATCCATGGAGGATTACGAGTCATTTAGTTGAATAGTGGAGGTCTGTACCCATTCCCAGCTTTTATTTAATTTATTTACCGAATAGGCCCTCAAACGTCCACGCCATAGGCAAATCAACTCTCATCGAATTCCATGCAACCCTCAACTTCCAAGTCAACTAATGGGTATTAGCTCCGTATGGCCCTCGTCAAAGTCACTGTTCTTCATCCGTATCCTACCTAGCGAATCTTTGTAACAGCTCTCCAAGATTGCGCACCCGTGAAAAAGGGGGTCGCAGGATCAGTGTCGAGACAAAAGGGCCAGCTCGAAGCTGTGACGCCAGATGTGGTATCTCCTGCTACATATAGGCAGTACGGCAGTTTCTCCATGATTTTTTTTTTGTGCTCCACTTTTGTTGTCTTTTTTTTTTTTTTTTTTTTTCTAGGTCAACGAGATGACGCCGTGGCATCAGGGTCTCTTATTTTCCAATTCCGGGTCCCCTTCCCGAGTAATCGCGATCTCTCTCCGCATCCGAGGGTCGCGGCCCTCGAATCCCCTCGAGACCGCTCGAACGGGCTTCTTCTGCCCCTTTTTGCAATTTCCACTCTTCCGATCGACTCTCTATCGCACCCCCGCCATTCTTCGGCTCATCGCTAAACCCCTCGCGAGCGGGCTCTCGCGGATTTTTTTACAAATTAACTGATTCCCGTCCCTTTTTTTCCCTCTCCTCCCGACGGAAATGAAACTCGTACCTCGTTTGCAAAGAATGCGCCAGTAAAGTGATTTCGTAACGAAGACCGTAGTCGTTAGGAAACTTTTCATTCGCGGCAGCCCCCTTTGATGGGCTTACCCCCCCTTGAAACTTTTTCCCTCTGGCTCAGGGCCTTTTTTTCCCTTCCTTTCCTTGTACCTTTTTTCAAAACGACAGTTGGCGCGAACTTACTTGCGTATGATGTATAGCTCGAGTTGTGCGATATTTAGCGCGAAATTTACCCCATCGCTTATTTATTTACCCCCACGCGTCCAGATAATTACCGTACCTTCGCCTCCAACATCGTATATGTTAATAAAATTGGCTCCGCGGTGAAATTTAACTTGAGCTTTGCTTGCGGTAATAAAGATCCTGTTGTATTTATTTTCTTTTCGGTCGACCGTGGTAACAATAGCGTATTGTTCGAAAACACACTCATTTTGTATATACATATGTATGGTTTTACAAAAGAACGAGTAGATGTACGGTGCTCGAAAATTATTAAATATAATCACAGTATAATGAAAAAACGGATATAAAACATTTCTCATTTGTACGGAAAACGTTCAAGAAGTAGTAAAAAAAAAAAAAGTAAATAATCCAGTACATTTCAAAGTACGAACATTTTCAATTAAATAATTTCATCTCTGCGCAGCTTGGCGAAAAATGCCCGAGAAAAAGCTTGTTGGAGCGGCTTAATTTTTATAACCTGCGGGTCGAGGGGGTTCTGCAATCGTAGTCCCAGACGACTCGAGCGCCAAAGACAAAGAAACGTTTCGTAGAGGCGACCGCAGAAAAAAAAAAAAAAAAAAAAAAAAAAAAAAAAGTAGAGGTGAAAAGAAAAAGCGAGTGAAAAATGAAATTAGGAAAAGCCGGCTGTATGAGTTATACCCCATATGAGTAGAGAGAGAGAGAGAGAAAGAGGAGAGGGATAAGAATCACGAAATACCAGCGAGGGCCGGCTCGTTTGAATGCGGGACTAGGCGAGCCCGGAAAGACGGGGAAAATCCACGGAACGATTCCGTCAGGTTGCCCACATCCCCCCACTGCCACCCAGTTCTTCGCGGAATTGTTGGCGAAGCCGTGCGCATTATTATCCTCTCTTGATGGAGCATATAGCTCCATCCCTCCCGGACTTCTCTAGATGGAGAAAAAGACAAAAGGGGAACAACGAGTGGATGCTGCGAGTTGCATACATGCGCGCAGAGCAGCCTAAGCTTTTCGACCCAACGTGAAGATCAACGAGATTAAAAATCCTCTGCGAATTGATTGCTGGAGAGCACCAACCCTCCTCTTTTTTTCCTTTATTGTGCACTTTTTTTCCTCTATATATACGTATAGGTAGATGCAAGCTCGAGCTCTTTTATTTTTTGTTGCTCACCCTTGGGCCATCAGTCGAATTGTTTCGTGCACTTTTGTCCCGGGTAAATCCGTTTTCGGTCTGTTGACTTTTTCTTGGCCTTACACCTATTTCGCCAGGGCTCCTGAATGCCGGATTAATTTTCGCGATGGAGGGATAGAGAGAAAGTTTGCCGTGGATAATAGTGTAGAGCTCCCAAAGGTCGACGCGACAACAAGCGATGAAAAGCCGGGAGGTAAATGCACGCAACAACGGAGCGGCCCGGAAACTTTACGAATTTGTAAACAGCGCGAGACTGGGACAGAGCGCGCACTGGTCGACCCGACGTTTGCAGCACCGTGTGGCAACACTGAAGGAAAAAAAAAATATCCTGACTCAGCTCGGAGTTGGAAATTTTTCGAAAAGTTTAAATAAATTACCCGCTCCGATGATACATGGCGATGAATCCCAAGAT